AACTTATGAAAATTACAAGGAACACTTGACTATATCACCTTGAAAATGTTGTTTGTATCTGGCAATTGATCTGATCTAAGCACTTAATATGGCCAAACACTAAGTAACATACATTTCTGCAAAATAGGATAAAAAGGCCTAATCCCACCTTAATGAGACTTTTATACTTACTTTGTAATTTGCATTATAGTGTTTTCTTTATAGAAACTTTCTGTGGGATGTTCTATATGCTGTGAATGTGTTGCTCTGATTGGTTAAGTAAAAAGCTGATTGGCCAGTAGCCAAGCAGGAAGTATAAGTGGGATAAACAGATAAGGGGAATTCTGGGAAGAGGAAGGCTGAGTCAGAAGATGCCAGCCCGCTGTCTAGGGAGCAGCATGTAATGGCACACAGGTAAAGCCATGGAACACATGGCAACATATTGATTAACAGAAATGGGCTGAGTTTAAATGTAAGAGCTAGTCAGTGGAAAGCCTGAGCTAATGGACAAACAGTTTTAATTAAAATAAGCCTCTGTGTGTTTACTCAGGACTGCAGGACCACGGGAGTGGGGTGGGAACAGGAAAACTTCAGTTACAGAAACTAGTGTATTACTATATTATACAGTTCACATACTTTTAAAACATTTTGATTTTTAGAATATTTTTATTAATTCTTTGAGAATTTCATACAATGTATTGTATTTTGATAATATTCACCCCTGGACCTTCTCCTTGGTTCATATCCACATTCCTATCAACCAAAATTCATGCTCTCTTTTAAAAACCTATTCATGGGCCAGGCGGTGGTGGTGCATGCCTTTAATCCCAGCACTCAGGAGGCAGAGCCAGGGGGATCTTTGTGAGTTCAAGGCCAGCCTGGTCTACAGAGCAAGATCCAGGAAAGGCACAAAACTACACAGAGAAACCCCGTCTCAAAAAACCAACCAACCAAACAAAAACCTATTCATTTTTAATTGTATGAACATATGTGTATCTCTGTGTTTGTGCATGTGAATGAATGTGTCCAAAGAAGCCAGAGGCATCGCATCTCCTGGAGCTATAAGTGGTTATGAGAAGTCTAATGTGTGTGTTATGCATGCTCTTAACCACTGAGTTATCTCTGTAGCACCTCAATTTAAATACTTTTATATACAAAATAGGAAGATCTATCCATTCACTCTGTTAATTTTGAAAGTACTGTACCAGATAGATGTTGAAGATACAATAAACTATAAAGGCATATTCTTTGCCCTAAGAAAGATAAGTGAATTTGATAAATACAGTACAAGTGATTTCTATCAGAGTGGTAGAAATACTTGGTATTCTGAAGCCACATTAAAGGGATTCAGCTTAGTAAATTAGGATAACCTTGACTACCCTAATTTCTCCTTCATATTTAAGGCAACTGTAAAATCTGGGAATTTCCCTTATAAATATGCACGAGTGTATATATATATGTATATATGTATATGTATGTATGCAAAATACATTCGTATATTCTCAGGTAGAATAAGCCAATCCCTTTTCTGTGATTTCATGAACTTTGTATACATCTTTATTATTGTACTACAAGCTTAGATTTATTGATTGATATCCTTTGTTCATTGAGTTCTTGAAAGTGGATGCCAGGCAGTAGTGGCGCATGCCTTTAATCCCAGTACTTGGGAGGCAGAGGCAGGCAGATCTCTGTGAGTTTGAGGCCAGCCTGGTCTACAAAGGGAGTTCCAGGAAAGGCACAAAGCTACAGAGAGAAACTCTGTCTCGAAAAACAAAGAGAGAGAGAGAGAGAGAGAGAGAGAG